GGGTTTTTTTTTTTTTTTTGGTTTTTGGGGGTTTTTTTTTTTTTTTTTTTTTTTTTTTTTTCTGCTTGCTGTGGTATTGACTAATACAGCCTAGCAAAAGCTTTGTTTCTTCTGGGTTTTTTTGGTGTGGTTTTGTCTGCTTGGCAAATGACATGCTGTCATTGACGCTTTAGGGTTTGAATGGTGCAAATTGAGCTAAGATGAAATTCTGAGTGAGTGTTCTAGAAATGGACTTCCGCTTTCTAAAACCTATTTTTCATAAATGCAGTTAAATTTACTTTTGGGAATGTTAATATTGAAATTTAGAATGTAGTCTGAATTGTACCGGGTGATGAGCTTGATCCTGGAGATAAGGTTTTATAAGATTTGCTTGGGAATATTTGGCTGTTCTGTTAAAACTCTAGACCTTAGTGTTCTGTGTTCATGTTTTTGTTGGGATGGGGTGGAAATCGACTAGAAATTCACTATTCACAAGCTAGTGATAAGATATTTACTGATTACATTTCTTTTCCCTTAGGGATAAAGAAATGGAGAAGAGCTTTGAAGTAGTAAAACACAAAACTAGAGGTAGGGATGAGGTCTCAAAAAACCAGGCACTTAAACTTCAGCTAGACAACCAGTATGCTGTGCTTGGGGATCAGTAGAGCTGCATACACATTACAATTAAGGAATGCTTTTTTTGGTAACCCTTCTACTAAGGTAACTAAACTACAGCTAACGGCTATGATGAACATGCCACCTTATTTCTGCTGGATCTACTGCAGCAAGTGCAGACTACTTTGACGTAAGTGATTGGTTCTCCTGCACTATGGAAGCAAAATATGTTACAACTTCTCCATTGGATATGGGGCAAATTAATGTAAATGATTGAACAAGAGTCATCAGTGTTCTTTAATTGCTCAGAAAGATACCTACAGCCAGTGGTCATTTCAAAATCTTTTTATGTTCAGATACTGAGCCTTCGTAAAGGTTGACTACCTCAGACTTGCTGCACTCATTGTGGACACCATGTGGATCACAACTTCTGGAAGAGAAGGTTACAGCTGTTTTAGTGGCCATCTGAAACTTGAAACCAGCTCTACTGGATTCCTGTCAGAAATCCTGCAGAAGTCAGCCATTTGGTTCCAATTTGCTATAACAAAGATTTAAGTGACCTTAATGACAAACCTATTCTATTCCCCTGCTGAGGAATCCTGTCATGTGTAGCCATAGCCTACTAGAGACTTCTGGAGTGTACCATACCACTCATACTATCCAAGCATAACAGAGCTGTAGTTGGTTTACCTTTTTAGATAGCTGTACTGAAGTAACTGCAAAACAAATTAAAACTCATTCAGTATCAGATTTGAGGAATGATGAGTTTGAATGGTCTGTTTGCATTAGCCATTTTCACAGTTGTCTGTTTAAGCTTTTTTTTTTCCTATTCTCCACAAAAAAATGCTTGCCTTGTTTCTGGTATCAAATTGCAGCATATTTAAATAACGATGAGCTGTTGTAGTGAAATAGGATTTATTTTGATTTTCATCATGAGGTTTGTCTGTCTCACCCTAAAGCACTAAGACTTAAGAGTTTTGATTTGACACAGAGGTATCCAGACTCCCAACTACAGTCTTCAGAATTTGTCTTTTAAAAATGAGATACGTGGCAGTAGCAATACTAGATAAAAATTTCTCCTCTATTACAAATAGTTATTTGTTGAAGGGTAACGGTTACTTGATAACCAAAATAACTTAGTATGCAAAGGGATAACTAAAGCTGGTAAGCCTTATTTGTTTGGCTACTTCTGTGAAGCATGCAGGCTTTTTGAGGCAGAAATCCTCTAAGTAAAACTCATTAATGGTGTTTATTCAAAGTCAGGAAATTTAGTAACAATGGAAGACAGTGACTTCTTCAAGTTGTTGTCATCTCTGACTTAATTTCGTGGAAGTAGGCAAAATGGCACTGATCTACTAAGAATATAGGACATTGCCTGTAACTCTGATTTGATGAATGAAACCTGTCAAGTACCAAAAGCGTCCTGCTGTAACTGTTTTTCTCTTCTCTGAATTCTTACACCAGAAGCAAAATGAAGTACAATAGTGGCGTGCTCCAGTGTTGAGGTTTCTCAGAGTAAATGCCAAAAAATAGACCCAACATCCATAAGAGTTGCCAATGGCAAGAAAAACAAGGGAACAAAACAAAACTTGCTTACATGTGTGGGAGTACTGTGTATGTGCAGAAGATGAGGATAGTGCAGGAATCGCCTAGTTGGGTTCCCTTTGACTAACTGTTGACTCGCTTTAAATCTCCTTCTCTGAGGCCAATGGGAATCTTGCTGTTGACTTCAGTGGGGCTGGGGTTTCACCTGGTTCCTTTGTGCACAGACTAAAACTGGCCTTGCCCTTGCAGAGTTAACTGTCTCTAAAACTTCTGCTAGAAGCTGCTATTAAAGAGAGGGCTCAAGAGACTGTTCTTTAAAGTTGGAGACTTCATTTGGAAACAAAACCCCACTGAAAGCCTGATCCCAATCCCTTGGACTCTGAGCCATGTATCTTCCTTGAAAATACATTGTTGCCAGCAAAACTGTTGATTTGTCAGTAAAGATTTTCTGTGGTATTCATGGTAAATGGACATGTCGCTTGATGTGGTAGAAATGTGAAATCTTAAAAACACTTTTCCTCGTTCTCTGAAGCGATTGAGATCACCAATGCACATGAATCAAGTTTTAGTCTACTGTGTGAAGGGTAGATGAGACTGTCCATTGTACCGTCTTTATTTGAGGTTTTGGGAATGAATTCTGGCAGTTCAAGAAAACCTGTAACAGTTTCAAATTAAATAAAATGGAAATATACATGGATTCTGGAGTCTAATGAATCTTTACCTTTAGTTCTAGCTTACGACCGTACAACAGGTGAGGAAGCGCAGAGCATTTGGATCTCTTAAGGGACAGGCCATGGAGTGGGTAGTCAGCCTTATGGTCAGGTGGGCTATGCTTAAGGGCTTATAGCAGTGCATATTAATATGACTTATTTATACATAAAGTTTAGTTTGCTTAGCTGTCAGAGTGTCTTCTTACTCCCACCATATAGGACTGGTTTGAGATTGTGAATTGAGTATGAATGAAGCTTTGATTTGCTTTTCACTTGAAAGTTGCTCTGCTAAATTAAAAGAATGGGGGGGGGGGGAATAAAACAACCCAAAAAACCCAAACCTCTGGATGGTTGCTGTCACCAGAATCCATCAGCTACTGATAACTAGAGGTGTTATTTTGGGGGCTTTTCTTAAGCATATCATTCCAGGTTCTTTCTGGAGGCATAAAGGAAAAAAATCAGAAATGCAGCAGATTTCCATAGTACAGAATGTTAAACTATTTTAAAGTGTTTCTTGTGTTAAATATCGCTGCCAGCAACTATCAAAATGCCAGTTGTCAGTATCTTCCTTGTAACAATTAATTGATCTGCATGCCTGAAATCTTGAAAGTCAGTCCTCTGTGGAAGCTCAGTATGCTTTTGAGACTCTGAAGTCCAACTTTATCGGGTTTGTTGTTGCATTCATTCGAGGCATGCTAAGAATGTCTGTTTCATTCCTTCAAAATGCTTGTTGAAGGCTCATTCCATAAATGAAGGATTGTCAGTTGCAGAAATGAGGTTCTTGATACCAGTCAGTAAAATGCAGTCGTGTGCCTCTTCAGGAACTTCCTAACCTGTAACGTGCTTTTGTGGTGGGTTAGTTATTAATTTCCAATTTAAAGGTTCCATTTTACTTTCTCTGGCTTAAAAGAAAAACACAGCCATAGAGTTACCAACTTGCTAGTAGAACACTTAAATGCCCAGTACTTACTGGGAAAGGAACAATTTGGATTTGTGGTTCTTGGTGATAAAGTCTGTATTTAAGGAATGTTAAAATGCCGAAAACTAGATAATTTTAATAAAGTTGAACTTCCCAAATGTTCACTGTAGGAACCTGGCATCTGTATTTACTTGAGCTGATGATAAATGCAGGAGAGGATGAGTTTCGCCTCCCCCACCCCCTCGCCCCAGTTTAGCTGTGCCATGTTTAATCTTATTCACAAATGAAGAGGAATTGACAACTAAAAGTGACTGTCTCCTGCTACTTCAGTTTTGTCTTTGTAGCTAGCTTTACCAGTCATGTCCAAAGTAACTCTCTTATAAATAGATGAATCTTTAATGGTACAATTTGTGCTAGAGACCTGACACCATAGGGACTAGGGTTTTTGGTATTTGACTGCATCTGTTGGCTCTTGGAAACTCTTTCACCACAACATGGCCCAGACACCTGTGCTGTTTAGGTCAAGTAAACACAATATAAATTTGATAGGGCTGCACACCTTGGAGCTTGCTTATCTGAGCTTTTGCAATAGTTGTATCTTTTTGTCTTTCTAATTTCAGTCTCGTTGAGCAATTTTAAACTTGCTTGTGGTTTTCTGTCAAATGCCGTAACTAAAATGGAGCAGATAATTCTTTTTTAGACTAATAGGGCTTCATGTGCTTGAAAGGTGCTTATTTACAAGGTAGTAATATTTTTCTTTCCAATAGTGACGTGGGTAGAGAAAATGAATACCTCATATTTTACATGACCGATTTGTATCAGAGGCCCAAGAAACTAAATTTTGCCAAAAAATACGAGTACTTAAAAATCTTTATGAATAGCCACAATCCAGGTTTCATCGTCTGACTGTAATTTAGTTCCTGAATTGTCCCTCTCTGTTTTCAGCTTTTAATTTCACAAATTGGTTTTATTGGTAAACAGGGGCTTTATTTGGGAATATAAGAAAATAACACATGTATTTACATTCCAGATATATAAATTAGGTATGTACAAAGGGGGAAGAAATCTGACATATATTTGCCAATAAATTCTTCAGAAAAAGTTAAAAAGTCAGCTTGTCTGTGTTGAGGTTAATATGAGAACCTGTAAGCTCTAGCAGGTGGAAGAAGAAATGACAGTAGAAAACAGAAGTGAGTCGTCTTAATATTGATTTGGATAAGTCGTAACTATCATGTATCTAGAGTTTGGCTTCTGAAGCACCAAGTGTAGTTCCACTGTGTTCTGTTTGAAGTGAAATAGAACAGGAAGGTTTTATTTTTTTAAAAATCAGGGAGAGTGGAAATTAAGCAAATAAAACACAGGAGGTACAAGAAGAGAGGGATTAGGAAGGCCCTTTTCTAAATGATAGTATTAAACGTGTAGCCTGAGGTAGGGAGTGGAGTGTAAGTGGTTGGATAGGAGGAGAAGTGCTGCGTGGGTAAGCACTGCTTTCACGAGCGACAGATCCATCTGACTTTAAATCAGTAAAAGCGTTTGAAGTTCAGTACTTTGGGAAGGCATCCCATTTTATTTTTGTTCCTTAAAGACAAGAATTGGGAAAACCTGTCCAGAGAGAAAGAATTTTGCCTTGGTACAAAGCTGTCTAACCAGTTGCCTAAAGATAGAAGCGAGAAAGGACTAATTCCAAGATAGTTCAGCAATCTTGTTAGGAAATAACTTGTTTCATACTTAAGAAAACTCTTCTTCACTTCTGCATGATAAAAAGCTGAGACACTAATTCAAATTGCTATGAAGACAGTTCCTTTTTTTGTGAAGCATCTTCTAATGGTACATATATCATGGTTTTATGTTCAGTTGCTTAGAATATATGTTGGTACAGCAAGGTTAATGAAGTTCAATGGGCTGCTTAGCCAGAATACAAATATTAAAAATGTATCACAGTATTAATGAATCACCAGAAAAAGTAGCGCACCTGCAATACTGGAATGGAAAGTATCATCTAAAACAACTGCATGCACTGAAAAGAAGCAAGCCCATTTTGTAGCAAGGGCATAGGACCAAGAGAGTGGGATTTGGCCCTGGTTTTCCACTGAGCTGCAGGGTTAACTTCAAGTCATTTAGCTTCACTTTGCCTCAGTTTCCTCAGCTGTACCAAAAAAACCCAACAACCTACCTCACAGGGGTGTTGTGAGGCCACAGCTGTTTGTCAAGGGCTGGAGCTGATGGAAGGTGTTGCAGAGGACTAAAAATCTTTATTAAAATATCTTTATATTAGCTTTCATTACAGTATTTTAATATTACTTTGGGAAAGGCTTATTTCTACAGAATGTAATATACGTTCTACTTAAGTATTATGTAATTACACTTATTTTACTATGTATGGGTAAGGAAAAAGTTCAGGCTGAGCACTCTAACTGCTATTTCCTCTCTTTAATTATCTGTACAACCCAAATGGTATATTAATAGAGGCTTTTTGTTTTTATGTGGAATACATTAAAATCAATATTGCTATATTTTGTAAACCCCATGACTGAAATAAAATCCTGCTCACAGTTGATAGCCATCTCTTATAATGTGGCTGTTTTAAAGTTTGTTCGAATTACGTGAACTAGAAATGTTCACTCCTGAAAGTATATATTTGTGTCAGGGTACTAAGTGGTATTTTGTAGTAGGAATGTAGTTTTCTTCCCCTCTCCACACATTTGTCCTACTCTTTATCCTTTCCCATATTTAAGTTGAAGTAGCATGCAGGTACAATGGAAATATGGGAGAGAGAGTAATCTTAACTTCAAAACTTTTAAAATCTGGTATTAAGGCAGGCTGTGGAGGAAAAAGGTGAAGGGATTACAACAAAGGGAAGTGGTTGCCCATGGAGAGGTTTCTGTGAAACAGATAAAGGAAAGAAATGATCAGAAGATAGAGCTGAGAGGGGTAAGCAGAGGGATAGGTAGCAGAGGAAGGAATAGATACAGAAGAGGCAATTACCCTATTTAGTGTGATCTCCTGTTTTATCAGTTAACTGCAGCTGAAGGAACATGAAGAAATATTTTTTATGAATATGCCCTTGTCTGCTGTTGCTGGTGATTTCAAGGTTCATTGCTCAGCTTTTACAGTGGGCCTCCAAATAGAAGCAGAGAGCATGACGGTGGCATGCGTGCAGACAAATCGGACCTCTGGTGGGTACTGGACAGAGATGAGGCCCAGCAGCTGTCCTCTCTTCCTGATGTTTTTATCATTGCAGCACCTCTTAAGACAGTTGTTAATGTGCATCAGCTCTGACAATTCTCTGTCAGAAATGATTACTGTTAAATTCCAACAAACTATTGCAGTTGCTTCAGAGGAACTGTTTAACTAGCTGAATAATAAGCATTAAAGAATAACACAGGGGGCTTTTTGGAATATTTATGGTGATGACGGTGATGAGTGATATTGAGGTCAACAGATTGGTAGGTGGCTTAAAACAACTTTGAGGTATATATCCTGTTATATGGTGAGGAGGAGAATTACTTTTAAGATGTACATCATCTATTCTTTTCCCCTCAACAAATAAACTACCTTGCTCTTACTGTCTTTCCAGCTACGAAAAGCTGCTTCTGCCATTCTCTTATCACTTTCCTCCCTGTATTTTTCTAATATGTCACTTTTTTTAAGCTGCTGATGCAAGAGCAAATACTCATTGAGGACCTCTAAGAGAAATACATGCCGTAATATTTTTCTATATTGTTCTGTCTTTAATACAGCCTAACATCTTATTCGCTTTCTTGACTGCAACTACATATTGAGCAGATGTCTTCATCAAGCTGTCCATGGTGATGCCTAGATCGTCCCCTTGAAAGATCACAACTAATTCAGAATCCACCAGAGCATGCATGAGTGGTTTAAAGCCTTTCCAGTATTCATTGCCTTGGGTTTATTTTCTGTTGACGTTCACTTGCCACTGAATTGCCAAGTTTACAGAGTTAGTTAGCTTACCCTGGCAATCACCATCTTCCCCAGTGCTGACAAACCTAATAACTCTCTATGGGCATTGGCTTTTGCCATCCGATACACCGAAGTCTTCAGTTTCAC